GGAAGACAAAGAACTTTCAAACAACGATTGAAACTTCGGAATAAAACATACCATAGTGGCAAACTTCTGTGAAGAATCATCAGTCAATACTTCGCCCCTACTTTGTGCAAAAAAACTATGAAGAAACCACCCTTACTCCGTCCAAAATGGAGAGCAATGGGAATCACGATTCAGAATGGTACTAGGTTGTTTTCTTCCTGTTTTATCAAAAATCGGAGTGGTGTTGGGTTATTCTTTCTAAATTAAGAATGTGTTGGGTTTTCTCCCTAAATTAATGGAGCAAAAATAGGGAGATTGCCATGTCAAATGGAAACTCGATGGGCTTTTAGAGAAAATCTTGCACCCCCTCTAGAATTGCCATGTTTGACATGGCATAACATTATATATATATATAATACTCCCTGGATTTTTTTGACAATCATAACCTCCTTTTAGGTTTTGATCTTGATAAAAACCATGCCTATAATTTTGAGGAAATTTACAAATTTCTCCCTTTTGTTAACTTTCTAAATAGGAAAAGTTGATATAATTATATTATTCTTTTCAAAGAGAATACCGATTTTACCCTTGAAACTTATTTACTAAAATACTCCAAAAAAGAAATTTATTTGAACTCCTTAAATAAAGAAGTTACAGAATGTGTTATGACCTAGGTAGCATTTCACTATCCTCTCCAATTTTCTGGCAATACAACAATTGACAAGCCATCAACTCTCTAAAGAGTCTACATGACCGAATTAAATCTTAGTTCTTGCATTCAATTTCAACATTGTTGATCCTATTACAATGATTACTCACTAAAATATTTTTACAATTGGCTTCAACATACTTGTCACATCAAAAGCAAATCAATCAAACATCCATTTTAGTATCATTATCAGGTCAGGGGAGGAAATGCAACTTTTCAGCTTTACCCCCTTTGACTTCAGGGTCTAGGGTTTAACTGAAAATGATCCATCCAACTCATTGCACCCTAAGTCTAATTCAAGCAATTGAGACAAACAAATCTATCATCAGAAATATAAGAGTGTTAACCTTGGCTTGATAAACTTTAAAAGTTTATCAATTGACTAAAAACGTTTTAAGCTATGACCAAATTTAGGGGTATTACACATAAGCATATCATATACATGTGAAATAATAATAAATTAAATTTATTCAATAACAAGTATCAATTGATTACATCACTCGTATTGGAACTAAGGGCATACACTAATTAATGTAGAAGAAATGAATTGGATCTGAGAGTGAGCAGTAAATACTACTAATGAAGGACGGAACTCCTCATTTTCCATCACCACCTTACATCTTACCTTCCAAATGGGCCATCTAGAGTATTGGAAGAGAATGATTGGGAGCCGAAGGTGACAGTTCTAGCAGTTCTCCCATAGAGAGCTACAAATCATGCAAACAATCAATTGACCATCTATTACCAATTAGTCAGTTGTAGCCTTTGTGAAGATAATCTCAACATTTCAACATACTTAACCACGTATGAGATAGAGATGACTGAATAGGCATTGTCCAAAAGTTATGGTTTGATGATAAAGATTTTGAAGTTAATATTTGAGCCCAAAGTGGATTTTCTTTTGTTTAAAACCTCCAACAGAACCTCATAAGGCTAAATTTACTCTATGAAAATCTTTGAAACCCAACCCCCTTGTAAATTGTAATTAATTTCGAAACACAAAAGGATCTCCAATTCTTAAAGTAAAATTGCCACTGATCATCCACATAAAGTTAGCATCATTAACTGGTCACAATGAGCTTGAGAGAAAAGTTTAGTGGACATAACATATGAAGGAAGTGAATTGATTGTGCTTTGAATCAGTATAGACTTCCTGCATGAGATAAAAATTGACTCTTCCAACTTTCAAAATGGCCTCTAACATTGTTGATAACCATTCATGAAAGTGGTAGCCCAAACAAATTTCCTATCCTGTCATCAGTTTCACACCCAAGAGGGTCGTTATTCCCACCTGACTTCTACGATGAACATTTCTAATTTCTATTGAAGAAGATGGGGGATTTATCAAAACTAACCTCTTGGCCAAACCAAGAGCAAAATTTCTGAAGAATCTCTGAGATGGGAAGCTTCATGCTTAGTGCCACAATCATAAATTAATATCATCAGCATATATATACCCCGGGTCGACATCACTGGTAATCATATCATTACCTCAGAAATACTTTGACAATATAAACAAAAAACGGTGTAAATATGGTGCTTTTGCAATGAAGCTTGATCTTTCGAAAGCATACGATCAGATGGAATGAACCAATTTAATCCATGCTCTGAAAATGAGAGGTTTAATTTTTAGACATGTTCTATCATCTCATATCACAGCTGATTCACAATGTATGGCTACAGATTTTTAGTTGGTTCTAGTCAATGTTGAACTGACAGCCCCTTTTCTACCCCAACGAGGTCTCTATTAGGGTTGTCCTGTCTCCCCATATTAATTCATTTCGGGTGCAGGTGTGCTTTCAACCATGGAGCTTCCCATCTCAGAGATTCTTCAGAAATTTCCCCTACGTTTAGGTAGTTAATTGAACCAACCATGGGAGATACGTATGTTATGCATTCTCCTTTTCACTAATTAGTTCTCATATAAAATTGAAACATCTTTAAACATGTGAATGTATTAATTAGCTCTATAACCTCTTTCAATTGGGTCATGTCTATATTGTTTTCTTTAGCAATAGAGAGCAAGTTGAGGTTTCTGTGTTGAAGCTTCTATTTTTAGAGTTACAAAAAACAGACCAATTAGTCTCATTGATTCAAGCTTACTCCGAGTTTGTTTCCTAGTTATTTTTTAACCCAAAAGTCTCATTGTTTCTTAGTTATTTGAGTTCCACCCGTTTGTTGTCTTATACCCATTGTAGCTTTTTTCTCATTTCCATCTGTGTTATCTGAATACAAAGGGATACAAAATTTACAATTATTTGGCTAATTGTAAATTTCTGGTATTGGGTAATTTCCTACTTTAGGCATTGGATTGTATGAGAGATGGTGATCTAAATCATATTTTAGTTGATAAAAATTTCTTTCCTAGTGGAAATTTGGACCTCTCAGAAGGGATTTTCTTTTTTCCTACAAAATAATTGTTGAACAATCCACCTATTTCAAATAGCATATATAGGTGTATTTTTTCCTATTTCATCATGGATACACTGCACATCCACGTTACTCTCTACCATGGGTCATCTATTCTCATGGTTACTTTGGCATATGGTATTGGATGAAATTGGAACAAAGCCTTTTATAAAATTATTGTTTCTTATTCTTTTTTAACCGTTTGTTTATAGTTTGAGAACTATTTTCCAGTCTTTAAGGCTATGTTTGGAGACGATGCAAATAGAGTGTAAATGCAAATATGCAAAATGCATTCGGGTTCATACAAATGCAAAGTTGGGGGTTAGTTTTGTATTGACAAATGTACTTTCTTATCAAATGACTCTTAGTTGTAATGAATGCAAACACAATTCCTTAGATAAAAATATACCTTTTTAAACATTAAAACCACTTTGAATGCAAATTTACTTTTTTTTTTTATCCATGTACATTTACATCTCATTTTTTATGTACACATGTCTTAGAAATTGTGTTCTCTGTCATTGTCGATACACAAATGCATTTTTGTCAAATACTAGAAAACTAAACCATAGTGCATATTTACACTGAACCGGCATTTACACTCTATTTGCACCGTTTCCAAATGTAATCTAAAGAAGAGACTAATAATTTTGTTGTTGTCAATTTGTGCTAAGTGAAAGTTACCATCAAATCGACTTTGCTTTGTCTAATTAATAAAAATAAAGGTTTTTTTTCCTAACAAAAGTGGGGTAAAGAACAAAAGAATAGAGAGCAAGGTTTCATCTATCAAAGGACAAAATAGGATTTTAAAAATTTTAAATAAATTCATTGATGGGGTATATTTAAGTCCAATGGGGTTAGTCTAGAAGGTATATTTAGATTCCTTTGAAAAACTAAGGGTATGACTCTTTTACCCAAAAGAAAAAAGGAGAATTTTTACTAATGGATTTTTTTGAAATTAATGAAGTAAAATTAAATTAGCTTGATTCCATTTCATTTTTAATACGAACTAGCTATGTCTTAGTTTTAATCTAATTTGAACCTTTCTTTTGTTTTTCCTTTTTGATGATATCATATATTCATGTTGCACTTCAATGATTTAATTAGAGTTGCTTAAATTTTTTTGGGGGGATGGAGTTTGCGACCAGTTTTATTATGATCGATCACATGGTGAAGCAAAGGCTTTCCCTATTTGTGAATTATAAATAGGTATTTTTCTTTGCTTTCCATTTGGTTAATTGAATCTCTACCCCATACATGTATGTTCTGGATTTATGTGTAGGTACTACAACTTTTTTAGGCCCCGTTCACTTTTTGGTAAATTATTTATCGAAGTAAATAAAATTACTTAATTAAATATTTTTTAGAAAATACTTAACCAGGTAAATGTATTTAGCCATATTCTTTTATTTTCTGAATAAAAAGGAAATAGTCATTTTAACCATAAAAATCTATTATTAAAAAGATATTATTAATGGCTTTCATCAAACTTGGGATGTTTTGATTGGCCTATGGTATGGAAAAAGTTTTGACCAATAAAAATTTACGGATGTTTCAGATATCAAATCTTTTCCATGTCTCGGTCAAAATTCCGCCGGTATATCTTTCGGCATCATAGATTTTCCGCCGATTGGACAAAGATTCGTTTCGAGCACTACTAGCCGTTACGAGTGCCGGAGAAACGGCGAGTGACAGGAAAATCGTTTGGAAATTGTATACGGAGTTGTCCGAAGTTACGAATCAGTGGATTCTTATTCTCCAAAGTACCCTTTATTTTTTGTTGTTTTCTATTACCTATTGACTATATTACCCCCGAAGATTGCTACGCGCGTTTCCTAATTTCATTCCCAACGAACCGATTGCCTGTTATTAGAAAGCGTAGTTGGAGAGAGTTAGAGTCGGAGCGGGGCAGATAAATACCCTGATTCTTGAATCCTGCTCGATCCTGAGTCCATTTTACTTCTCCCGATCGTTCGTTTTGATTTCTCTGCAAAAACCAACGTAAATTGTTCGATTGTTTGGTTCTTCTTCATTGTATTTCGCTGGTAAGTGTAATGTCTTTTGTTTGGTTCTTCTTGCTGTTTTCAGTGATCAAAACCCTAAAGTGAGTTTTCATTTCTCTGTTGTTTGGTGGTGTAGAACAAAGCTTGGAAAGCGATGAAGCGGAAACAGCAAGAGAAGCCTCAGGACAATAGAGACTACGAGAATAATGGTGAGTCATGGTTGAGAGGGAAGACGATTGGCCGAGGGGGGTTTTCCAGGGTTTCTCTGGCTATGACGAAGAGAGTCAACACACGTCGATGCAACTTGCCGCCGATTATGGCTGTGAAGTGGGCGGAGATCTTTCAATCGGATACGCTTCAGGAGGAGAGAGAAGTTCTGGCCGACTTAGATGGATGCCCTCATATCGTTCACTGCTTTGGCGATGAAGTCACCTTTGGGAACAACGAGCTTTACTTTAACTTGCTACTGGAGTACGGTTCTGTAGGATCTCTAGCCCAACATATAAAGAGATCGAATGACGGGTTACCTGAATCCGAAGTGAAGCGCTATACGAAGTCGATTCTTGAAGGGCTCGTTTACATTCATTCTCGCGGCTATGTCCACTGCGATATCAAGCCTGCCAATATCATTCTCGTTCCTTCCTCTACATTTGCCTTCTTGTCTTCCCGAAAGCGAAAGCCCAGGAGCTATTGCTACGTTGTAAAGATTGCGGATTTTGGATTAGCGAAGAAGGCTCAGCAGAAGAAATTGAAGAGGGGTTGGAGAGGCACTCCTCTGTACTTGTCACCGGAAGTTGTTAGAGATGGCATACAGGAGGCCCCCGCTGATATATGGGCTCTAGGTTGCACTGTGGCAGAGATGATAACTGGGAAGCCGGCATTGAGTTGCAAAGTCGGTTCGGATGTTAATTGTGTTCTGTTTCAGATAAGCTCTGGTTTTTCCTTGCCAGAGGTACCCAGTGAGATGCCAGACGAGGGCAAGGATTTTCTGAATATGTGTTTCGTGAAGAATGCTGAGTTGAGATGGACAGCGAAGATGCTCTTGAATCACCCATTCATTGCAGGAGATGGTATTTAAGCATTATAGGAGGCTCAGTTTGTGCAGGAGATAGGTGTTTTTCGGTTTCTCCTGGATTAAGAGGCTGAACTCATGGTTTATTTTTTGGGTTTAGATACATGTTATTCTTTTTTGTTCTTCATTTGGCACCATATTTTTTTGTGAAGTGCAATTCTGAGAGAACCATCTCATCATTGTACCCTGAAACAAAAGGCTATCCATGTTATTATTGGTGTTAAATGAAAAAAGAAAGAAGGTGAATTTGAATTGTTACTTTGCTTATGCATAACCGGAAGCCTATTTAGAATGATAAGTGTACTACTTTTACTTAATATTCGCTAAATTATTTTCTTCCTTTCCTCATTCCCAAATATTTTATAGTCTCAGGTTTTCTTTCCATGTATTCAAATATTTATTAAGATGAATTAATTGTCATACTTTTCTTTCTTTCAATTCTTTACTTTGTTTCTTTATTATTATATACTTCATTTAGTTGCCATGTTGTCAAGCAGAAATTATAGTTTTAGTTCTTACTATCAACAAACAATCCATCATCATTATCTCAAAGTTCAGAAATAATTAAAGAGGGTACCATTTTGAGGTTTACTTTGTAAATGTAAATCTTCATTTTCTTTCTAAATGTCCTGATAATTCATCTTTAATATGTATTATAATGGTTGTTTATTGTTGGGGTCATGATTTAGTAGAACAACTGCAAGTATATAATTGGAAATTTCTCATCTGATAAATTTACATTTCTTACAGAATTTCAGGCTTTAGTTTTACTACTGACTTTGTTTAATGAATTTAAGGGGGCTTGATTGAGTTCAAGGCAACACCAATGGGTGTCCTTGAGATTTTTAGTTTGAGCAGTAGCAGAGTCATTCTTCTCCATGTTTTATAGGTTCCAAGACCCCAAGTAGTTGGGACCAGCATTGGGTAATTTTTAGAAGTTTAAGGATAAATTCTACAAAAATAGACCGAGTTGTTTTTACTTTTTTGTAAGTGTGTAAGTTTTGACAGGTTAAAAGAAGGCCTTCCTATTTTACTTTCCCCTGTATCAGGTCCATATGTGGTCTTTTCAGTTTTTGGAGATTGGTATACTTCAATTCTTTCTGTGTAAATATTATTCTGTATAGAATAAAAAATGATTAACCAATATTATTAACTTCACAATATTGGTTTCTTTTCTCCACCCTTTTCTTGAGACCCTTAAATGGACTAATGGACTAAGCTGGATGATGCTAACCGTCAATTATTTTTTTTTCTTTTTATATGAAGATCAAATAAGAGAGGAATATAAAAAATACAATAAAATAAAAGAAAACAAAATATTTATTAATTACTAGTTAAAGAAATGATAATATGGTTATAATCATTTGAAATTGTCAAAATAATGAATTTTTGTTTTAATAAAGTCCCTGTGCTTGACTATTAAGGCTGCATTTGGCATTCCTTTTTGCTGTTAAAATGCCCCTATGCACACTGAGTTTTTAACTTCAAAAAGGAGATTAGTCCTTAAAATAAGGAATGCCAAATGCAGCATAATCGTTCTTCCCCTAGCATGTTCACCATATTTACTAGTATTGCTGTATCTCATAACTACCTTAGTAATAATGGAAAGAAATGAGATTGCAAGAAGTTATGTACTGATATAGGAAGCCTGATTATGTATTGGGTGCTTTCTCTTCTGAGTTTGAAGGTGTTGAGAGTTCTGATTTTGGAAAATATTTTTGGTCTATTCTTGATATTTGTAAATGATGATATATAGTTGAGTTATTATTCTGTGTTCTGTTACCTCGATACTCTTGCGTCTGACTCTATGTGTCATACTTCTTTTCTGCTTTCAATCAAATTTATTTTGTTTATTATCAAAAAGGAATCTCATGACTACTTCATGTGTCCTCTTATATTAACCTTTTCAAAAGTCTTTGCGTCATTGATAAGGGGGTCCCTGTGGCTGTTTTGAACTCTTATAATTTTACTGCTATAAGAATTGCACCATTATTTGAATATCTAATACTAATAACTATAACTTTTTGTACATTGCTACTATTTTAAGGGGTCATTGCTTGGTGCAATTGTAAAATCTCAGGATGAAAACCTGAGAATGTGGGTTCAAGTCTCTGATCAGCCACTTTGTCTAAAACAAACAAAATCATTAGGTCCATATAACTAGTGCCTTAATTGGCTAATGACCTTAGTGCACTACGTTAATATTTCTATGACCATCCAATAGAAGAAAAAAAGCAATATATTGACTCTTGCAAACTCCTTTCAGTACTACTAATTTTATAGGAGGTGAAACAGGACTAATGTAGCTGAGAAAATAACTTGTTATTAGGCTTGGATCATTACAATGAGGTTTAGTGGAGAGTTCCATTCTTCTAATCTTGTTCATGTGGAGTAATGTGTGCAAATGTATCTGAAGAATAGCTAGTGAAGATTCAGAAATCCAGAGTATAGCTCACTTGGGTTGTTTAAAGATTTAGAACATGGACAAAAATACACTAAAGTTCAATTCTCTTTTAGTTTTTATCAATAGTTGGGGTAATAAATCAGGTCTTATCATCTGGATAAGAAGATAAGAAGGCTCCATGTTTTAATATTACTTGATGTGTTTATAAGTACATGTTCCATTATAAATATTGAACTATTTTTTTTTATTTAAACAAAGAACTCCCTCTGTATAACAATCATATTCCAGGTGTACTGTGTGTTGAATTAGTTAACTGTTTTTCTGGATTTGTCCTATCATGGCCACGGCTAACCATGCAGTTTCATCATAACTTAAAGGCATTGATACAAAATGAACATTCAAGTCAGAAGGAATTTTCTTTCATGCATTTGAGTTTTTAAACATGGTATACTTTCACACATTTGGCAAATGCGAGGCATTGGTACATGTGCCTTTGTCCATGGTTATCTATTTTTCCAACTCTTCTGAGGAATTAATTGTGCTAGTTGTTCATTAATGGCTTTGACTCTATACTCTAGGAAGGTATTATATATTTATATTATGGGACTGGCCTGGATATGTGCTACAGGACCTGCTATTATGAGCATACATTTATAAGTCCTCATGAAGCACCATCTTCAGAACCTACCATCCAGATGCAATATTTTTCATTTTAATTTGTAAGGTCATGCAAACCTTCTTATATCTTTTATCAAATACACCCAGTATCTCAACATTCATATATGTGCCAATATGTCTGGTTAAAGTTCTGATCCAAAGAATCACTATTTGAAGAAAAAATTTTGGGCAAAAAATTTATTCTTTTTTGAAGTTAAAGTTTTTAGCTCCAAAGAATCAATTCTTAGAATGAATTTTGAACCCCGAAAAAAATTTGTTCCAGAAAATTTCATACATCCAAACTCAGAAATCATTCTTAGAATCACCAAATTCATCAGAATTAATTCTTCGAAAGAATGCCAATGCAGCTTTAGTTACTTTAATCCCAACTCCCCATAATTCTTAGGATGACAAATTGTTTTCCATTCCACAGTGTGGGACTTTTTCTTATCTTCCTTATTCCATTACAAAAGGTCATGTCTAACTTAACAGTCTATATAGCATAGTTTGGCATGTTTGTTCCAAGCTGATCCTTCTGTTAGCATAAATTTTCAATACAAGTATTATAGGGAGAAGACCTTTTAGAGGATGGAAAAAATGAAACTAGGTTCTTCTTGGATGTGGAAAAGCATTTGTGATGGTTGAAAAGCGTTATTTCAGGAATTTAATTGGGGAATTGGAGCTTAGTGAGACGTGTTATTTCAAAACCTCGGATTGGTGGGACCATAATTGGGTAATGGCCATTAGATAGATTAAGTTTAAGTTATCTCATGCTGTCATTAAAATGATAAAATGAGATACATCTAGGATTATTATTGTTATCTCAAGACAGGTTAGTTTGGCCTCACCACTCCTGGCAGAGTCACCATAGGATCAGTCTGCCAAGATAGTACCAGTGGAGCAACAAGTCAGCAATGTAGAAGCTGCTATAGAAGCTTTGGTGCCTCAACAAGGTTAGGATTTTTTTTGATGTATATGTAGTTTATTGGTCATAAAAGCTTCCTATAAAACCACTCTGTACCGTGATGTTATTAAAGATATTTGGGCCATGGTCAAAAGTTGTTTGCAGATTGCAGTGATAGTAGGTCCCAATGAAACTTCAGTTGATGATGTGTTATAACTCTATAATTACTTTGATTATGGGTCTGAAAATCTCTTTCAATCCATTGTGCCTAATTTTCTGTGGAAGATCCAGTTGGAAAGGAATGCTGGATGTTTCCTGAACAGTTCGTTCTCATATGGTGGTTGTGAACAGAGCAAGGTTCAGGGCTTCGGAGTTTCTGGTGCCAAGTGCCAAGGGGTTATTTCAGACTATGTGGGTTTTCAGTCGGAGCCACATCACAGATGATGGTTTAAACTCAGTTCTGAAGGAACTGCAATTTTGACTCAGAAGCAGAAGGAATTGGAGGAATCATCAAGAACAATGAATGGTGCTTGTACAGTTAATGAAGGCCTTTTGTTACCGGGCATCACTTACCTGGTTTGGGTGCAGCTAAGCGAGAAGGTAGGTAAGGACTTGTACCCATTAACATTTAATACTTGAAATACCCAACAAAAATATTTTATATCTGTCCTGAATGTTACCAGGTACAGATTTAATGTCCCTTGCAATTCAGGTGGACTGCAAATTCCCAAATCAGCTATGGTCTGTGCCTCTGTGGAACTCTCATGCTTTGATGCACAGTTGTGTCTCCCTGAAGCTCTGCTACAGCTACTTTAAGGTTGGGTGTTATGAGGTTAAACATTAGAGGAAGATTATGGAACATTAACTGGGCTGCTATCATTTGAGTCATTTGCAAGGAAATAAATCAGGGCATCTCTGAGAGAAATATTCTGGTATGACTATGTTAAAAGGAAACCTGTGTTCTTCGTTAGGTGTACACAAGCAATTTCATGGTATCCAGATAATTTCTCTTTTGGAAGCTGGACCCTTTTTTTTGTCTAAAGTGCACATTTTTCTCTTTTTTGTATATCCCCATTTTTCTCTTTAATAAAATTATAAATTTCAACTATTTTATTTTTAATTTTTAAACAAAATAAAAAATAAAATGATTAATAACATAAAAAATCACATGGAGTGAGAATCCCATGAGAACAAAGATGGAAATAACCTTGTCCCACCTTTGGGAACAGGGACGATGACAGGAGACGGGTTAAGGAGTTTTCGATGGAGTGGCTGAGACCTTGAACGCATTTCGTAATGCTTATAATGTTACTTGAACCAGGATCAATTAATGATAGCACTAAATCTATTACTATACTTTAAGCCACTAAGCCATCTCACCTTTTATGTTATTTAATGAAATAAAATAGATTTTATTAACTTTTATGTTCATCAAAACAATCAATGCGATATATATATATATATATATATATATATATATATATATATAATCTATATATTATAAATATATATATATATATATGCATTATGTTTTAATCTAAAATCCCAAACCTTATAGGATTTTGATAAACAAGTTTTATTAGGATTGGGACGGATTAGATATTTGAAAATTGCCGCAAAATTTCCAATCTCTAGAAGATAACCAATCCGAAGCCACTACAAGAAAATTGATCTGAGCCAGTGGTCGCCGGCTTAGGCCTTAAGACCGCCGGGATCTAAGGCGGCAGTCTTTAGTCATTCTTTTGTCAATTTGATGATAAAGAAAAGATTATTAAAAGCCATCAAATTGACACTGGATCTTGATTATTAAAATATTGACAGGATCTTGATTATTAAAATATTGTCAATTTGATGATAAAGAAAAGATTATGATTAGCTGCCCTAAAATTAAGGGTGATATTTGGCCAAGCCGAATAGATCATTGACCTGATTATTTTTCATTTTTTGTCTTAATCACCATATAGAAAAAATAAATTAAGGAAAATCATTGATCAGTTCTGATTAGAATTTTGTAGCCCCACCTTACAGGGGATGAATCCTAACCATGAATTAACGTCAGATTCACGAGGAGGATGATGCAATTTATAAGAGAGAATTACTAGTAGACTATGACTCTATGAGGGACTGTCTTGCAACCACCATTTGGTGGGGTGTAATTAATTAATGGTGCAATGGTATCACATACCAAAAAATAAAAAAGAAAAAAAAAAACTAACAAATTGGCAATTGGGATAAACTAATTTGGTCCTCACGTAACCCGGTAACCACCGCTGCATATCCTATTGTAAAAAACATTTTTGTATTTATTTATTTTTTAGGGGAGATATTCCTAATTCACGGCTGCAAGGGGCGGGGCGGGGACGGGGAGCCTCTCCCCATCCTCATCCCCGCGAAAATCTCCATCCCCGTCCTCACGGGGATTCCTATCCCTGTAGCAATCCCTATTTCCCGTGTTTCTTTATAATGTTAATCATTTTGTTTTTGTTTTTTATTTTATTTAAAAAAGTAAAAATAAAATAATTAACATTTACAATTGTATTAGAAAATATACAATCATATTTTTAAAATATTAATATATAGATGTATGTTTACATATTTACATATATAGCGTATGCATACATATATACATATATTAGTGGGGATCCCACGAAGTGGGGATCGGGCCCCACAGGGCGGGGAGTGTTCTCCCCGTCCCCGATAATGGGGATGAAAATTTCTCCATCCCCACGGGGGGAAAATCATACCCATCCTTGTCCCATTCGGGGTGGATCCCCATAATGATTGGGAAAATGGGGAAAATTGCCATCCCTACCCATCAACCTTGATTACCATTTAAATCACTCTCAATCTAAATGGGAACGGATAATTTTATATTGACCATGGATGAGTAGCAATGACTATTGAATGGTTTTATTCAGTGTTTTGGTTGAATCACTTGAACCGTCACGTGATTTGAATAAAACCTGAAAATAAGTTCAAATCTGTTGATTTGGTCAAAATTGTTCAACACGGATGATTGGACCATTGACCCAATCAACTTGGTGACTGGATTGCAGGTTGCATATTATATGTAAATTTTGGGAGGTCATAATTTTGCACTTCAATGTTTGATTGAGGTGATTTTTTTTTTTTTTTGATTTTGGACAACTTTTCAAGATCTATGTGTCTCAATAGATGTCTTGTCCCGCTATTTTCATGAGAAAACCCCTATTTTGACCTCCAATCATAATTTTTAATATTTTTATATAAAAAATAAAAACTGAATTAAAAACCATAAATTAAGTATAATTTAATATATATATATATATAGAGAGAGAGAGAGAGAGAGAGAGAGAGATGGCATGGTTTGGCCTATAAATTAAGTATAATTTAATATTTTGACCATTGCAATTTTATAATCCCCATACTACCCTTGTAATAACTATTCGAACAATTTTAATCCTCTTTTTGTGTTTTATACACTTTTTCACCTTATTTCTCCCTTGCAATCAAGGGATTTTTCAACCTCCCAATTACAATAGTAGGGGACATCTCCCTCACGAGTTTTAATCGCAAGCTCTGAGTTACAGTAGCAAGGGTCATCTCCTCACGAGTTTCAGCCGCACAAGATTTCTCCCTCACGAGTTTTAGTCGCAAGGGTACACTGTTTTGGCTTTTAATTTTTCTATGTTCTAAATTAGGGTCCATCCTTTTCTATCCACCAAAAACTTGTATTGTTCGAATCATACTCAACCTGATCATGGTACCAAGGCATTATAAAAAAATAATAAAAATCAAAAATTAAAAAAACAGAACTAGTCGAGCTCTTTGATACAAAACCTAAAATAAGAGGGAGAGGGAGAAGATTCATAACTGATCCTTGGGACTTCTGGTAAAGGCAGTGAGGACCAACAAAAAAAGAATGTGAATTGAGGGTTGAGCAAGGTTTGCGTTTGACACATGCCACTGTGATCGAGGGAAATTAGAGCTGCACTCAAAAGATGATACTAATAGCTGCAATCAAACGAGCTTCTTCTGATACCCAAGGAGGTGAAAAGGCAATACCGATGAACACATTCAAAACTTATGTGAAAAGGCAATACCGATAAACAAATTTAAAACTTATGTAATCTGAATCTAGAACCGGTTACTATGCATTGCATTTTGCATGTGGGTTTGCCTCCAAGAAAAGAGGGGAAAAAAAGAATCTCCAGGAATCACGAGAAAACAATAACAAGCATGTTCACTATCTCAGAAGCTAAAAAATGATAATAGAGATTGGGATGGCCCGGTAAACACAAGCAGAAAACTAAGACAATAAAATAGATCTTCTTCTCCGGTGTGGGCGAAAATAGATCTTCTTCTCTGACAATGACAAAAATAGATCATTTTTGGCGACGGCGATAAGATCTTCTTCTCTGGTGATGCTGATACTTGCTTTCCCTTACATTTGGTGTGGTATTGGTGTGATCTCCGACAAAGAACAGACACAGACGATTTGGGATGGATTACACGAGGTTTTTCGGTTGTGTTTAGGGTTTTAGGCAGGGTTTCAGACAGAGAACACAGATGATCTGAGATGGATTACATGAGGGTTTTCAGTGGGTATCTATTTTCACCATTTTGAAAATGTTAATTAGACTTATGGAGGGTATTTTCATCAAATGACACCTTCTGTTTGCTGACTTAACGGGGAAGGTGGTCTTTATCTCACAGTCATATTACTGGGGGTCTTTATTGCAAAACAAAATACAGGGGTCTTTGTCACAGACCCCATAGTATGGAAAGGTCTTTGTAATTTACCTTTTTAATAAGGATCTGAATCCTCAAAAAGTTTTAAGTAAAATATATTTTTTTAAAAATATATTTACTTAGGTGGCATTTGATAAATCTGAAATTTCAGATCTGAAAAGTAAAAAAGATATTAAGTGTCTAAAATCTGAAAAGAGGCATAAATGCTTTTCTACTTTTTAGAGGATCTGAATAGAAAATGTTGTTTGTGTTGGATCAATTGTGCAACATCTGAAGTTGCATTATTTTACTATTTTACCCCTGGAACATGCTATTTTGTAATTTTGAATGCAATTAGCACTATTTCATATAAAATAACTTATCAAATTCAGAATAATATCAAAGTTATAGAAAAAAATAATAAAAATTAAACTAATCAATAAATTAATAAATAAATAAATCAATAAAATTAATAATTAATTATTTAAGTATTAATAATACTGAAATAACACGAATAAAATAATAAAATAAATAATAATTACTAAAAAATATTAATATGATTAAAATATGAATAAATTCCATGTTTAATTAATAAAAAATAAGATATTTAATAATTAATTTAATTAATTAATGTATTTCCTTTAGATGGGGAATCCTTATCATAGGTTCGGTGGCAATTCCCAAATTGCCAAGAAAATTTTCCATTGTGAATATTGTTTTGCTTTAACTTTGTTTTCAAAGAATCATTATCACTTGGCTCAATTTGGTCGAAACCGGTTTCATGAAATAATACATAACAATCAACTCTCTTTTTTTCTTATTCAATCTATTTATCAAAACTCTAGTTCATGAGATTCTTAGGTGGCTAGCAATGGCTACTTATTATATATGGTATGTAAGGGAAAAAAAAAAAAACTGTTTCAACAAAGTACCATTCATGTTCAATCGATACCTTGTTGTGTCAACATTCTTTCTTATTCGGCCTTTAAAAGTAGTAATGATTCCGCTGCATCTTCTTCCACTACTTAGGTGGATCCAAAACGAATGAGTATATTTAGAATGCAATTCAAACAAACCCCGAAAACTTGTCACATTGAAAGACTTAAAAGGACAACCATTACTATCCCCAGTTATATTACTAAGATTTCAAATCTAAAAACAAATTGCGTTAGGAAAACTTCAGCCAATGAGCAATATATGCTATACGATAAATAGATGATCAAAATGAGCAATATAGATCGTATACAAGTTCTCAAAACAGAGGGAGCCCAACTATTTGTCTCCAATGATCACAAACAAGAGAATACGAGAGGCCTTGGAACTATTTGATGGACATGGACATCAGTCCTTCCACTCTACCAAATACCAATTACTGCCATTTTATTCCACTCTACCCAAGGCGTAAATGATTAACCAAGGTAAGTCCTCTGGCCATCAGATAAGCAATAGCTTGACAGTGCTGCCAAAACTTATTGAACTTGAAACACTGGAAATCCATGACTTGTTGGAGGCTGTAACACATCTATCAGTGGAGGAACTGGGGGTTCAGAGGATGAGCTGCAACACATCTTTTGTACTCTTCTCTTCCGCCTATTGTCAAACACATTTAGGGCAGAAGATACTCTATGCAGCTCCAGAGGATGAGCTGCGCTACCACCTTGGCCTGAAAAACGTCACCACAGGCAAGGGTTATCAGAGGTCTCTAGAGAAACAACATAAACCATATGATTCCCCCAACACTCAAATCAAAGAGGAAAAAAACCCTCAATAATCCTTCATTCAATAAAGCGATCTTCCGAAAATCACCAAAGCAAAAAAACAACAGTTCATCTTCCAAAAAAAAAGAAGAAGAAGAATGACTACCTAGAGGACAGATTCATGAGCGTCATTCTTCTTGGAACTTGGATTCACCGGCAGTGTTCTTCCTGGAGCTTCGATTTCACCAGTGGCGCTTCCTCTCAGAAAATACGAAAATGACTATGTTTTCAGGGTTTGGGGTTATCAGGGTAGTGCACATCATTTTTAAAATTTTGTAAGGGCAGCTTCGACAACTCTGAAACGCGTCTGAACATGTTAAGAACTGGCCCAAGGTCTACGGTTTTCAGATCTAAAAACTAAATTCAGATCAAGTTTAAGAAGATAAACCAAACAACTGTGAGGATCTGAAAAGCAATATTTTCAAATTTAGACTTTTAAAAAGTGCAATCAAATACCACCTTAAAAATTAAAATAATATGTAAATTACCAGCCCCATCGCTATAATTAAAGTAAAACAGTTCCGTTGGGATTAATATTAAATTAATAAATCAAATGTAAGTTTGTTGGTTCGGCTTTCTGTAAGTTTTTTATAGTTTGATTCTGTTTTTATAATTGGGTTAATGACGACTGATAAGGATTGATAATTGTTTTGAAACGACGCTTAACACGGGACTCTTTTAGTTATTTATCTAAAAAAACTGTAATAGTCATCGTCTACCAACCAATTGGCTACTGGCCAACTCAAGCTTAAATCAACATCTAGTTACAAATTACAATCCAGATTTCCTACTCACATTCTCTACCTGCTCATGCCAAAAAGTACATTGTAGCCGCACACTCACAATCCAGATTCCCTATTCACCTACCTTTCCCTATTTTTCTTCAAACCAAACACTACCTTAGTTAAAAAAAAAGAAAAAAAAAATTAAGCCTTTGAGAAGGTCCAGAACATTGTAGAGTCTCTTTAGAAACCATGTTGCACGCCAAACAATTGCGTCTAAGGTTCAATTTGGAAAAAGTAATATAAATACAAATAAGTGCAGTGCAAATATTGGTTAAGATATAAAATATACAAGGTTTTATATTATACATATCTGCATGCGTATTTATATTATTTCCAATGGGCTTAAAGTAATTCTTAATTAAGCTATTCTTTCGTTTAATTTTCCCAGACCAAAAGCAAAAGCTTGGAAAATAGCTTGGCACATTGACATTCTGGTTTAACCTGAAGCCCCGTGTTCTTGAAAAAGGTTAAAATCAACTTTCCACAGAGTTATTGATGTATTGTTTTGGAAGTATTTCGGTTCCGTGATCACTCCCACACTCTTAAAAGTCCAAATAACAAGCTTTTAGAATGGCTTTTTTCTATTCAACAAACATTAGACTGCAATCTCCAAAGCTTCCAATATTCGATTACTTTCATATTTCCATCCTTTTCTTATTGTTGATCCCATCTGCAAATCCATTGTCCTTCAACTTTTCCGGTTCTGATCAGAGCACCAGGGACATCATACGCCTGGAAGGACATGCAGCCATCTCCTATAAAGACATCGATTTCACCGAAAACCTAAGCATCAATAATGCTAGCTGTGGTCGAGCCTCGTTCAAAAACCCGGTGCACCTCTACGACAATGCAACAGGTAACCTAACAGATTTTAGCACTAATTTCTCCTTTTCCATTACCAGAACAGATCAAGAATTCCTAATTGCCGAAGGTCTGGCCTTTTTCCTGGCTCCCAGTGGTTCCAACCTCCCTGTTGATTCCAGTGGTGGAGCACTTGGTCTTGTTAGATATAGCCAAATGGAAGACAACACAAAAAATCAAATTATTGCTGTGGAGTTTGATACTTTTGGAAACGTGTTTGATCCAGTGCCTTACTCTGAAAACTTAAGTCGTCCAATGTATCATGTAGGCATTGATATCAACTCCGTCAAATCTGTGACGACCGCTAATTGGACCAGTAATGATATCGGTAGTGGGAATATTACTTGGGTTTTGATTAACTACAACTCAAGTACAAAGAACTTGAGTGTTACATGGACGTATTCTGACAACCCAACTTCTAGCCTGTTTTATATAATTGATCTGAGAAAGTACTTACCGGAATGGGTTACCATTGGGTTTTCTAGTTCCACGGGTCAGCTTAAAGAAATAACTTCAGTACATTCCTGGAACTTTTATTCGAGTTTAGAAGTAGAGGAGTCTAATTCTACTTCAGAGATCCCAAAAGCAAGCAAGACAGATAAGAGAGGGTTGATCATTGGATTGGTTGTCGGTGCAAGTAGTGCCTTGATCGGTGTGGTTTGGCTTGTCCTGTGGATAAAGAAGAAGAGAGATGTTACTGAAGAAGAGGATGAAATGGTGCTTGATGATTCAATGAATGATGAGTTTGAACAGGGAACTGGACCTAAGAGGTTTTTGTACAGTGAATTGGCCCGAGCAACAGATAACTTTGCTGAGGATCAAAAGCTTGGAGAAGGAGGATTTGGAGGAGTTTATAAAGGGGTTTTAAGCTATCTCAACTTGGATATTGCTGTTAAAAGAGTATCCCAAAAGTCTAAACAAGGGATAAAGGAGTATGTGTCTGAGGTGAAGATCATTAGTCGATTACGACACAAAAACTTGGTGCAACTTGTTGGTTGGTGCCACCAACGAAAAGAGTTCGTCCTCGTATACGAGTTCATGCCTAATGGGAGCCTTGACACTCATCTCTTTGGACGACAAGCGTTGTTGACATGGGAAAGAAGGTACAATATTGCTCTGGGCTTGGCATCTGCATTATTCTATCTGCACGAAGAATGGGAACAATGTGTCGTGCATAGAGATATTAAGTCAAGCAATGTGATGTTGGATTCTGATTTCAATGCAAAACTTGGGGATTTTGGGCTGGCTAGGCTTGTAGACCATGGGAAAGGGTCACAAACAACAGTTTTGGCTGGAACTATGGGTTACATGGCTCCTGAATGTGTTATAACAGGGAAATCTAGTAAAGAATCGGATGTTTACAGCTATGGAATTGTTGCTTTGGAAATTGCTTGTGGAAGGCGGCCTATTGAACCATGTGTTGAAGCAAGCAAGATAAGGTTGGTAGAATGGGTGTGGGAACTCCATGGGAGAGGAAAGATTCTTGAAGCTGTGGACTCAGGGCTTTTAGAAATGGGTTTTGATGAGAAACAAATGGAGTGTTTGATGGTTGTTGGACTATGGTGTGCTCACCCAGATTGCAACTTTCGACCTTCCATAAGGCAAGCGATTCAGGTGCTTAGTTTTGAGGCACCATTGCCCACTCTCCCATCTAAGATGCCTGTCCCAACTTATTGTGCCCCCCCACTGATGAATGTTGGTGATGATTCATCTGGTGGTTTGTTTTCTTCCGCTGCTTCTCCTTCTACATCCCTTTTGTACCCTCGTTAAGTAGAAGTGTTCTGTCTGGCTTTGCCTTGTTCAATATATTTGTTCTTTTTCTGTTTTGTTTTGGAAGGGAATGCATAGCATGCATGGATTGTAATATTTTGTAGTTCTAATTTCCTTAGATGTTATGTTTTACCTGAAATTTTGTTTGTAGGAAATATTTTGTAGTTTTAATTTCTTTGTAAGCGATGCCAGAACTCGCAGATCTCCTAGTCCGTCATTTGCTCCATCGGTGATCGTTCTCACCATCTGAGAGCTAAGAGGATAGGTCTTGTTGTGATGAAACAAGCGATGCTATTTTAGTCCTAACTAATAAAATAGATTTACTCATTGTCATGAAAAAGTAACGAAAATAAAATGAATGAGAGGTAGGCTTGTTGTGATGAAAGATGAATTGATGTCTTTCCAAAGAATTTGGTGTGGTATCAGATCACTCTACACGGTTTTGACAAGGATAACAATCCCAACCAATGGTGGTTTGGAACAAGTTAGGGAGACACATGAAGGAACAAAAAAAATCAAAATAGGGCTTTGTTGAGAGAACTTGGAAGTTTGGTATATAGGAGTCTATTTGTTCCAATTGAAGAAAGCATTATTGAGTTAAATAGGGGAACTACCAGGTTTTTGATAACAAAATTTAATTGATGCAACCCATGAGGCAAATGAGGCAGAATAGGCAAGGCAAAATCAAGCAATGCCAGAACATGAAGCTATGAGATTGCAGGAATTGGCAAAATCAGAGTCTTTCTTTGCTCGATGTGTAACCCACAAGGCTGCTGTCTTGCGAGGCCGCGAGGTCACAAAGCCAACCTCATAAAGATATGAGGCCGTGATGACTAAAGATTTGAGATCTAGGTCATGAGACCAAGTTGTTAATCGCCCTTAAGACCAGCTGCGAGGCTCTCCTATTTGCCTTGCGACCGAGCATCAACATACAATGAATTTAAAATCCAAGACAAGGCCTCTTCGAGACAATCCACGCTTATCGCTGTTTCAACGTTCCCCATCTTTACACAGTCAACAAAAAGGATGAATGCACTGTTCTCCAGTGTACCCTCGCTGGATTCTAGTTTATCGCTAGTCTTTGAATTGCTTGTGACATCTGGTGATGAAGGGAAATCTAACGGTGTTTCTAACGATGAAGAGAGATTGGAAAGAAATAAAAGCATCGTGTGAAATTGATAGAGCTTGATCCAGCGGTAACAAAAAGCTCTGGAATGAAAGAGTGCGACAAAACAAAAACAAGAACGTTAGAATCAAATAATGATGAACAAGATATTAAAAAAAAGGAAAGAAAGAAAGAACAAAACTAGGTCCAAAATTGAACCTCTGAGAACTCTGTGGATTGATCTTTAGAGGAAATCTCCAGCACCAACAAGGAATCTGCGGATTCTAGTTTCGCAGGAGGTAGGTCCTTCAAGATTTGGACTCTGTTTTCCTACTATTTTCCCATATAAAACCAAACAATAGAAAGTTAAATTTTTATACCGTCCCATCCCATCTCACCCAAATCTTCTCACAAACCAAACAGAGGCTTAGGGTTTGTCGTCCTCTAGGTGAAAATTGCTATTTCCAGCTTTTACTCTTTGCATAGAGTTTTTCATCTTTGTTGTTTAGCTTATCTTGTGTAATGGCCTTGCTGCTAAAGTGAAATTCTATTTAACTAGTTGTAGCGTCTTAATGTAAGTTAGCTAGAAGATTGTAACTAAGAAGTTTTATGAAATAGAATCTCCTTTTGGACATCATTATCTTGTTTCCTTCTCTCCTGTTGTGTTTGTTTTGAGCAATAGAGAACGCCAAATCAGTTATTTGTAACTTGAATTCATTATTAGGATCTACTTTTTGACCCATCCCGAATTGAGTTGAGGAAAATCCGATGAAAAAAAAATTCTTAGTAGTTTGTGGTTCGGGGATAGAGTCCTATGGTCGGTCCACATTTAACTTTATGGGTCTGACCCAAATACGAATATTTTGGGGGTTTTCTTTTGTATTCATTCTTTGGCTTGAGAGATAAGTAGAGAGATTTAGGTATTCTGGGATTTAGAGTTTCTGTGAAAGAAGTTGTACATAACTCTGGAATCTCGATCATTGTTTCTATCATGGATTTTTGCTCCTTGTTCGCTTGTGGACATTGGTTATAACCCGAATCACTACGTAAATTTGTATAGACTCTGTTTCTTGCTTCTCATTATCTCTACTTTTCTTAATCATTTTCTTATACTATTCGAATTTGTGTTTCTGTGTTTTGCGCAACAAACTACTTTCATCTTTTGCTAGAGTAGTGATTCAAGAACATTTGCTTTGCAGGTTACAAAACTGAAATGTTAGTATTTGCATTGTTACAATCACAATGCCTATTGTCGTAGTTGTAGTTGCTTATCATGAGATTCCCTCCGTCTCAGGACTATTAGTTGCATCATTGATGATAGTCTTAGCAAGTGGTAGTTTTTGTCTTGTTTCATTAGCCAACAGGAGAGGTTTAATCCCTTCATAAAGGGTGGGGGTTTCAGTATTTAGGGAGGTTCAAGTCTTTTATAGTTTTTTAATTTTTCTGAAACAATACACCATATAATTTTCAAATACATTATAGGTTCTATGGCTGGCATGGTATTTTAGTATTGGCCTAGGAATGACAATGAGGTAGGGAGGGATTGGGTTTTGCCAGCCTTGTCTTTGACCCCGAACTCAAATGCCTTGCCCTATCCCGAAATTTGCTCCACGCCGCTCAATTATTTCTACTTAAAACTATTTATTTGTTTTTTTGAAACCTACCTAAAACTATTTTTATTATGTAATATAATATAGTATAATATATAAAATTATATTATAATTTCATATATATATATATATATATATATATATATATATATATATAGGGAGTGGTCAATAAATACCATCCTCACCTCGTCCCTGATCCCCATTTTTCCTGATCCCTGTGAGACCTTGGAGCCATTTCTTATTGCTTATAGTGTGACTTGAACCCGGACCAATTAATAATGGTCCCAAATCTCTTACTACTACTTGAAGCCACTAAGCCATCTGACATTTTATGTTATTTAATGAAATAAAATAGGTTTTATTAACTTTTTGTTCATCAAAACATATATATATATATATATATGATTAACAATTCCAACTAAAAATTAAAATAAATAATATTTAAAATTAGCATTTTATAAGTAAATGAAATAAACAATCTATCAAATCCAAATTTCAAATGGTGATTTTAATCCCAAGAAATTTATACAAATAAAATATTAATAATAGAATAATTATCTTAATACTTAAAATTTATAAATTTGTGCATGATATATAAGATAATAAGTTCATATTTATGCATCCTGGTATCGAATACCCTAAAGTCAAAACCCAAACCTATAGGATTTTAATCTAAAATCCCAAACCCTATTAGGATTTATGGGGCCAATTAGACACTTGAAAATTCCGGCAAAATTGCCATCCCTAGAAGGCAACCAATCCGAAGCACACTGGATCTTCATTATTAAAATATTGTCAATTTGATGATAAAGAAAAGATTTTGATAAGCTGCCCTAAAATTAAGTGTGATATTTGGCCAGCCGAGTAGAGCATTGACCTGATTAATTTTCACTTTTTTGTCTTAAATTATAATCCAATAAATTATAATCTAGATATGAGAGCCCGAATTCCCAAAAAGAGAGATTTGAGAAGAAGGAATCTATTCGATTCTCGCAACCACCATTTGGTGGGGATGTTATTAATGGTGCGTTGGTTACCACATACCCAAAAAAAAAACCCTAACAAATTGGCAATTGGGTTTTTGTGACCCTAAAATTAAGGGTGATATCTGGCCAAGCCGAGTATTGACCTGATTAATTTTCACTTGTTTTTGTCTTAATCACCTAACAAAAAAAAAAAAAAAAAGAAGAGAATGATTCTCGCAACCACCACTTGATGGGGTGTTATTACCGGTGCGATGGTACCATATACCCAAAAAAAAGCTAACAAATTGACATTTGGTCCTCACGTAACCGGGTAACCACCACTGCAAGGGACTGATGAATGTGGGTGACAATTGAGGCACCATTGCCCACTCTCCCATCTAAGATGCCTGTCCCAACTTATTGTGCCCCCCACTGATGATTGTGGGTGATGATTCATCTGATGGTTTGTTTTCTTCCGCTGCTTCTCCTTCTGCATCCCTTTTGTACCCTCGTTAAGTAGAAGTGTTCTGTCTGGCTTTGCCTTCTTTTTCTGTTTTGTTTGGAAGGGAATGCATAGCATGCATGGATTGTAATAAGATCAAGATGTACTAGCTATCAGCACTGTCTTTGGTCTACATATCTCACTCCATATTGTGCATCATTCTGAACAATGATATAATTTCCTTAGATGTTATGTTTTACCTGAAATTTTGTTTGTAGGAAATATTTTGTAGTTTTAATTTCTTTGTAAGCTTTTTTACTTTTCATTTTCTTTTAGTCGTTGTGGGCTTATTTGGTTATAGAACAGAATATTTTTGTTTCAGTTGTTTGTTTATCTCTTATAACTAGCTAAGTCATGCTAAGAGAGTTACCTCTCGGTATTGATAATTGGGTTATCACATCGTCTGTCCCCAGGTCCCATCCAATAGAAAATCGCCACGCCACCTTTTATACCTAAAACTTAAATTTAAACGGAGTTTCGGATTTAACGACCATCTGGACTCCAAAAATCATTGTAATTTTATTAACCCGCCCAGCCCTCCTCTCTCTTACCTACTTGGTTCTTTCTCCTCCTCCCCTCTCTCCCTTTCTCTCTCTCTCCCCGTCTGCCATTTGAGTTCGAATTTGTGCCCCATAAGGAGCCGCCCCACAAACGCCCCACAGCACATCCCGCCGGGTATTGTGAACATCTCCCGATGATGAGCGGTTCCTTGTGGGGTGCAAATTCGAACTCTCTACCATTTTACCCTCCCACTTCTCTACAGGTGAACCCGTAGATCTCCTAGTCCGTCATTTGCTCCATTGGTGATCATTCTCACCATGTGAGAGCTAAGAGGATAGGTCTTCCATCTTCTTTGTATTGCTTCGAAAAACAATCCTCCTTATAATGAGTGCTAGAGCTGATTATTGGAAAATGGGGTCATTGAAACTTGGATGAGAAGCTTTGAGGTGCATCTAAAGATACTGTCTTTAGAACGTTATTTGTCCCAACTCAAGTTCACTGAGTTTGTTGTTGGGTTAAAGGCAAATCCGTTCCCAGGATACAACAGAGCCATGGGCGAGAATCTGTAACCAAC